GAATGGATCAATTAGATCTGATTCCTCCATCAAGTTAGACAACTCGACTTTATCTTGCGAGCACCTTGCACCAGGAAGGGCATCCAGGAAAAGGTTCTAGTCTCCTGCAAAAATTATCCTGTTGCCCTCTGGGATGAGTAATAATAATTCAGCGAAAAAAACAGCGCGTTGTTTGACGTCGGTGGGAGCATAAATACACACGAAAACCCAGTAGCACCCGTCTATATACAATTTGACCCAAGACCATCGACCCCAAAGATTGGAATAGAAATCAACAATTTCAGCTTTTATGGATCTATGGATAAGTATGGTTGTTCCTCCCTTTGAGCCAACTGCGGGAGACCATAATTGCGGGTCATCCCACCAATTACCAAGCGTTGTTATTTTCTCTTCGTTTAACTTCGTTTCCTGGAGGAAAATAATTTGGATATTATTGTCGAAGATCCATGATTTGAGTCTGTCCTTTTTAAGCTTGCCTGTGGACTCGCCTAACCCTCTAACGTTCCACGATGCCAGTCTAACTTTGCCCATCTCTTAGTGGACCCTTGCTGCTGGACTGGATGTGAGGGGAACCCTGAAAGGATGTCAACCATAGAGAGGTGAGCATGGAGAGGAGAAAGGGAGAAGAGAGTTTCTTATCCTTAAGTAACTGCCCATCAACGTCGACCAAGCATTCAGTAGTTGGTAGAGGAGGGATTTTAATCCTCCTCAACTCTTGTCGCCTTGGTTCAGCAATCCAAGCCAGGGGGAGTTTCAGTCCCTGGCTTTCCAACATCTCCAACTGTCCGTGAGCGAACCTGACATCCATGAGGGGGACGAAAAATTTAATTCTCTTACCCCCTCCATCAGGATGGTCTATAATAATACGCGGCATCGTACACTCAGGGATCAGTCTGAAAATGAATTGATCTTAGATGGCTGAGCGAAGCAGCGTTACCATCGAAGATGGCATGGGCTGTTCTGGCGAAGAAATGCTCATAAAAGCTACAGAGCTATCAGGGGACAACCAAGCTATTACCCAGAGTGAATTCCGAGCAGCAGTGCAAAACAAAAGGAGGATCCGATTCTCGACTAATTGCAATTGACCCCGTAACAGGGAGGAAATTGGGGATCTCCTACGAGTAGTTTTGTTACCCGGAGTGCCAATTTCCTCAACCTGATTGTGTGATGAGTCAGAAGAGTCGGAGCACTCACCATTGAGGTTATCGCTCGTGGCAAAGCTACCTTCGAGGTCGAGGCGTCTCTGTTTACCTGGGGTACTCTGCCTTGGTCTAGCTGCACTGCTCGAACCCCCTCGAGGGGGGAGGGGGGACACCAGAGGAGAGCTTGCGGCCCTGTCTTGGAGTGCTGACGTCGCCGTCGCTGCTGCTGCCTATGGGCCTTGTTGCTGGTTTATTAACTGCTGGAGTCCAATTGCTCCTGAAGGGTTGTCTCCTGATCCCGAAGGGTGATTCATGTGAGGGGTGAAGCTTCCTCCCTGTTGCTGCAACTGGACATGAAGTGGCTGTTGCAAACCTCCTGCTGTTGGCATGAAGGCATGGCCAGCCCAAGGCGGCATACCGTAGAGTGGCAACTGTTGACCTTGAAGAGACAGGGAAAACACTGGGTTGAAATGCAAACTTGAAAATACTTGAGATGGAGCGCCCTGGCCGTTCCCGCCACCTAACAGTACTTGGGATGGTGAAAGGCCCAAGTGATTCATGGGACCGCTGTAACCTGAAGTACCTTGATGGTTCGAAGGACCCTGTGGTCCCGGAGTCCCTTGATTGCTCCTTGAACCGGCATGGGGTCCTTGGTTGCCTTGCGAAGTTGCATGTTGGCTGGCTCTGCGTCTGCATTCATTTGCTGAGTGAAAAAATGCACGACAGCGACGACATCTCGGAATGTCCGAGGAGGCCAATTTGATCTCCAGCTCATCACCTTCCGAAGTTACGATCCGCATCTTGTCCTTCATATTAGGGCGCGATGCTGGGTCGATGTCGAATTTGACATTAATTAATGGCGGCTTCAGGCGGTCAGGTTCGATAGGATAGGTATGAGTCACTGGGCCAGTTGCCTTCCTAACCTGAGCCTCAAGATACAGAAACGAATCTAGCGGCACTTAGACAACTATCACCCAAAAGGACTGCCGATCTTCTTCCTGTCGTTGTTCCCGTAGCTGAGCCTTAGTAAGCCAAGGCTTAAACTCGAGTCTATAGTTGATGGCTCCCACCGTGATTTCATCATGACCTTTCGTAACTAGCCAAGAGGCAATAGCCCTATTCTTAGCTACGTAGGACACTACGTTAGGACTTTCAACCTTGACCCTGCCTCTTTTGAAATTCTCCGCTTCGAAACTGCCGTCCTGAATCTTCTCATCCTCGTAGGCTCTAACAATATCATCCTTGACCTTTTTCGGTAAAAAACGAGCCCCTTCTCTGAAGATTACCGTAACTGTGTGCTCCTTGAGCCAATGAATTTTGACTCTGTCTAGAGATGCATTCACTCGAAAGCAAACTTCTCGGCCGTCAACTTCCATTTCGGCAGGATCAATATCCGACGGCATTATCCCTTCTTCGTAGCAAAGCCTCATCAATTCCCTTACCCGAGCTTCATCTTCTCCATCTAACCCAGGGTTTGGAGGAGGGGATCGAGGTTCCCTTTGGTTTATGGCATCATCCGTAGCAGCCTCTAACATAGGAGGAGGGGGGTAATTCCAGCCACCAGATTTGAGAACGGGAGTTTAAGGCTCGAGGGCCCTTGTTGTTGTTGCGAAGAGAAGATGACACGACTATGACTCAGCTATAGCGCAGAGTATAGATGGCGCATAAGCGACTTCTCATAAAACTCTTATGTAGGGGGTCGGACAGGCTGGACACTATGTTGTCGTCGTCTAACCCTACTGTGAGCGATAGTGTAAGGCGACTCCCTGACAAAGCAGTGTGAGCAAGACAACACAACCTACCATGGCGTCATCATGCTGGTGACGTCAACGGTCGTCGCAGACCTTCGTTGCCGAAGAGATAGCGCTTGGTCCGAAACGCAATAGTGCCGGCGGAAGCGCTCCGGTCGACCCCCCCCAGTTTCCAAATGTCGCCAAACACGTTCCAACGACGGTGGGCCGTTTTTAATCGCCTCGCGGGTTTTCCAGCCGCCGTCCCGTGGGGTCCACCTCTAAATTTGGGACATGTTGAATCCATGTTCTAAATTTGGGACATGCTGAATCCATCTTCCGCTAGAACGTCGACAGGTGCACCTGCCATACAAAGGGTCTTGTGGCAGGGAATTGTCGTGGTTCCCTAAAAGAAAAAAAAGAGAATTGTCGTGGAGATTCGAGCCCAGGATCTGCTTATTCAATGGCTTCCATACACGTGCAACTGTCCATAGACAGATCGTCAGTTCAAATCCTGGCAACAAATATTAACTTATAGGGCCAGTTCCACGAAGAGGCGAGGTGGTGTATGTAGCCTCTGGAGTCGTGGGCGAGCCTTCTGGGTGGGCCACACCGGCGAACATCGGGAGCGTATGCGACCTCAATTGGCGTCACATTCATCGCTGCTAAGTCCCACCATTTGACCCAGTCGGTCTCTCAAAGACTTACTTGACCGACGTAACGCGTGTCGTGAATTGGTCGGTCGGTCGTCCACGCAGTCAACTCTCTGCATTGCAGAATGGCGGCAACGGCTGATCGATGTGGAAGCGGTCGTCAATCTGCGATCACCGACGGATCGGTGTGAGGCCTGCCCTGTCCAGATTTGTGTGATCAATAGAATCAGTAATCACTCATGGAATTCATGGCGGGTTAGTTGGATTATGATCGATTCTTCGTATTGTGATTGAAGAGAGTTCTCGTAAAAGAATTGACGACAATAAAAGAATTGACGGCAAAGAAGACGATTATTCCGATGGTTGGCAGCCTCGTCGGCGGGAACGAACTAAGTCATCATAGCCATAATAATAAGGTTATCGTAGGCAGTCAAGTTTTCTATGAACTGATTGCCTGTAGTTTGTGCAAGGCAGATGCCGAAGGGAGAGGAATAATTCACCAATTCTTCCCCGTTCCCAGCTTCCCCGTCCTTGCTTTTCCTATTTTTTGTGTTTTGTTCCGTTTGTTGTTCCTCATCTCCTACTGCTCCCGCTTCTTCTTCCTCCTCCCCCTCGCCCTCTTCCTCCTTCGGCATTCCTGGTCTTCCTTCTCCTCCTCCTCCTCCTGGTCTCCTTCTTCTTGTTCTACTTCATTGTATCTTTTCTACTCGATTTGGTTTCGTTTCTTCCTTGCCTCCTCCCTCTTCCCGGTGCCGATCGACTCGACTCCATTACAATCGATTAGAATCTGTGGCAAAATGAAAGCTAGAAGAGGCATTTTGTTGCTTGTCTTTCCGTCTCGACATCGCTTCTACCGGTAGTCGGTTTCGTTGCGGACCTTCTCCTACGAACACATTTTGGCTCGACGGAAGCCAGCGTCGAACGCACGTGCACGACGTGCAAGTCGTGCGCGTGGGTTTTGGCCAATGGAAAACAAAGCGTCTGCGCGGGTTTTGGCCAATCACTCCAGTGAATGACATTCGATGTCATAGTGAAGAGATTCAACTAAGCGCGGGTAAACGGCGGGATTAACTATGACTCCCGATGCGAACAGAATTATTACTAATACAGAATAAATGAACTGATAGCAAACGATGACAATGGGCACGGATTTGGCTGGGCCAGTTGTTGGCCTCGTACCTTGACATTAGGTGGACCGTGCTACGCTACCCACCAATTCAAATCTGGTATGTTTTGTCTGGCCTTGATCATCACCATCAACATCATCATCATCACGATCATCATCATCACGATCATCATCATCATCATCATCATCATCATCGTCTCATCATCACCACCGCCCTCCCAGCGTTCTCGGCATCGTTACCGACAACTTGCCGTCATTGTCGTCGTGGGTGTCATCATCGTCGACCTCCCTCCTCCTCATTGTAACCTTGTGAACCGAAGGTGGAAGTCGAGTCCGAGTCCTAAGCCGGACGGCAAAGTCAATAGTCAACGCTGGAGGTCGGGGCAGAGTCGTCGCCATGTCCAGTAACACGTCGTCGTCCATGATAGATGCTCTTCTTGGTGAGATAGAGGATGTGAGCAGCGACGACGACAGTGCCACGTGTCATCAAGGCGTTACGGTGGACGATTTGCTTGGAGATGAGGACGAAGATGACGATGACGTTTCCCAAGCCGGGAAGGAGAAAGAGCAGCCAGGGGGGAGGAGGACGACATGGAGAGAGAAGGAAAGTATCGTTACGTCTCAGACGGGTATTGTTCCCGCCTTCCGCAGCGTTGGGTCATCAACGGTGGAGGAGAGGCGGGCGCACCTTCTCGCCCGAGATGCGGCCACGGCGGCGTCTGCGCGAAGGACGGCGGCTTCTCCGCCGCCGCCGCCGTCAATGGGCACGACTTCGCTTTCCCCCTCCCCGTCCGGTTCGTCCTCTGGCGTCTCGAGGAGTGCAGAAGCTGCCGTGGAGACCACCAGTGCTGTAGTTGGCGGGCAAGACTCGGATGATCACGCGTGTCGGGTTCCCCTGGACGCAGGGCATGATGACGTGCCCACTACTGGCTTACGAGACCTACATCATTCTTCGTCGAATCTTCGCCAGGAGGGGGCACGTGATGGAGATGGAGTTCCAGCTTGGCCCCTATTGCCTGGCAAGGCACGTACTGCGTATAGTTCTGAAGGAGGAGGAGGAGGAGGAGGAGAGAAGGGAACGGCATCTGGCGTGTTCTTGTCTGCAGGTAGAGCTGAGGACACGGGCAGATCACGAGATCAAGCCGAATCTGCATCGGTGCTGAGTGGCATGAGGAAAACCGGGTCGCTCATTGGCGAAAGTGACAACGGTGGGGAGGATTTTGGGGTATGTTCAAAGGAGCAGGATGAGGAGGAGGGAGAGGAGGAGCGGGAGGAGGACGGGAGGAAGGGAGATGAAGGTTCCCTATTTAAGGGAAGCACATCACGGAAGACCGGGCAAATTAGGAAAGCACCGGGAAGGGACAGGGAGGTGGGTGGCTCTATTGCGGCGAATGACGATGATGATGACGACAGCAGAATCAAGAAGCACGACGATGTGCCGCTGTCAAGGGAAGAGAGTGGCTCAAGCGGGGGAATTCAGGCGGGGGGGGTTGGTGATGCTTCTCCAGGTCATGCAGTGTCCGTGGATGGAAGGGCAGGGGATTGGGAGAGGGAGGAGGTCGAAGTCGAGGGCTCGACGGGCGATCGAGAGATAATGGACAATGTCGAAGGACAAACGCCGAAGCCTTCTCCTGTTAGCACAGCGCTCCTTTCATCGATTGTGCCTCCTCCTCCTCCTCTTTTTCCTCTTTCTCCTTCTCCTCTTTCTCCTTCTCCTCTATCTCTTTCTCCTCCTCTTTCTCCTCCTCTTTCTCCTCCCCCGCTGTTATTAACAACAACGGCTAGGGTTGATGATGATTCGTCCACTTCGCGTGCGATTTCCGTTGAGGTGGAACCTCCTCCGCGTCTCACCATCTCCATCGCGAACGGTTCAGGGCAGAGGGAAGTAGGAGGAAAGGTCAATGGTAATGGTAACAGCGGTGCGTACGCGGACCATACCGCGGGCGGAGACATTGACCGCAAGTCCATCCCCATCGTGAAGGAGGATGACGCGTCGGCAATTGACACGTGGCGGCGATTGGGGGGACAGGTGGCGGCGGCATTTGATGGCGTGGATGTCGACCTGGCACCGCAACAGAGATTGCGACGGCTTCCCGGAAGCGCGGTCGCTGCCCTACTGGCGGTGGAAGCAAATGTTCAACGGACTCGGGAGAGTAGTCGGGTTCCTTCGCTGCAACTACAGCATTTCCGATCGCCTTCATCGTCGTCATCATCTTCTCCTTCTTCATCATCATCTTCTGCTTCTTCTGCTATCAGTTTGTCAACGTCTTTCATGCACAGAAGGAAGACGGCTGCGGAGTTCTCTAGTCCGAAGAGTTCACCTTCTCTGTACAGTTGCAGCCCGCTGGCGTTGGACGAGATAGTGGGAAGGGGAGGCGCACCCGGGGCATCGACCACGGATGCGGCTACAGCGGACACGACGAGGATAGCGATCCCGGCAACTGGCAGCAGTAGTGCGGACGAAACGGCGGCGGAAGTTCTTCTTTCTAGACAGAAGCAGACGGGGGAGGAGACCACCGCCATCCTCTCTGGCTCGAGGGGAAAGGCAGGGCGTTTAGGTCTGTTGATTGTGAACTCTCGCGATGATGCCGACATGTCTGCGATCAGACAAGGGGAGCAAGAGGAAGTACGTCATGATTCCGCGATTGCAGCTCTACTCTCTTCACCTTCTCTCGCTGTTCCTGACTCCATGATCAGCTGCCCGGTCGGCACGTCATCTCTCTTGCCGCATGCCTTGCCATCTGTCCCTCGGATTTTCTCCTTAGGAAGCTGTTCCATTGAGGATACACCGCCACGTGTATCGTCGGGGTCGGGCGTTGGGATTTGGGACAGCCGTTGTGCAGCACAGGAGGAACGCGATGGCGGTGGGGGGAATCGCTGTCGTCCTCTGTTTCGTGAAGGCGGTCCCGTCCAAGCTAACAACGTCGGGATCGGTATGCGGAGCTATGTCGATAACTCGTCGGCAGCGGCGATGGCGGTATCCTCCTCTTCTTCCATCATGGCGGTCGTGGTCGATCGCCACGTGGCTGATGGGGGCGAGTCGTTTAGGTTACGTGGGCGGGAGATTAGCAGCAGCGCCGCCAGTACCAGCTATGGACGAACGACCGGTGATTCCGGTCACGGTCGCACGTCCTCTGGGACCTTGTCGCTTTCGCAGCAAATCAGTCTCGCGTCTCTTGATCTCGACGCGTTCGAGATGGACATGCCAGAAATATATTGGGACAGCATCAGCGATGGCGGCGAAGATAGGAAATCGGAGATGCTCGCTCATGCCTCCGAAGTGGAGAACGACCAAGGCGATGACGATGATGAAGATGATGATGCTGAAGATTATGATGATGGTGGTGATGATGATGGTGATGATGATGATGATGATGATGAGGACGAGGACGAGGGGATGGACAGTACGCAATCGTCGATAGAAGAAGAAGGCTGCGGCGACGAACAGGAAGAAGCGGAGAGGTCGGCGGCGGCAGGTGGTGAAGATACGGGTGATTTGTCGTCGGGGGAAGAGGAGGGGTTGGACGCGCTAGATGCTGCGGAGGAGCAAGAGAGGAGGCAAGCGACATCGGGCGTGGACTTAGAGGAAGGGGCAGCCTCTGTTCCGATGAAACTTGAAGGTTTGAAGAAGAGTAAACCGGCCGTAGGGCTGCTGAAGGTGGACGCGCTCGGGCAGCTGTCTTCCGCTCTGGCCACCAGCCATTTGAGGAAGGATCATGGCAATCCTCAGTGCATTGCGGTTCATTTGAGCTACGTGGCGGTCGGGATGTCCAAGGGCGGGATCCTGATGGCGCCCATCAAGTACAACTCGCAGCGGAGCGAGGACAAGACACGAGACAAGGCGCTGTTGCTTGCGGGTGGCGGGGGAGGAGGAGGGCCGGTGGTGTCGCTCGACTTCCACAGCTCCGGAGACCTGCTGCTCGCCGGCTATGCCAGCGGGACTATCATTCTGTGGGATGTGCTTCGTGCTACGCCTGCTAAGATCATCGTCGGGGAGCATTCTACGGCCGTTGTGAGGGTGGTTTTCGTCGGTCAGGACGCCGCCGCCGTCGGTGGTAGAAAGGCGTTGTCGGCTGATGCCAAAGGAGTGGTCTGCGTGCACACCTTCACGGTCGTTCCACTGGTTCGCAGGTACGCCGTCGGGACACAGCCGCTGCTGGATGGTGCACGGATGGGCCCCATCCTCTCGCTGTCCGCCGCGATGGCGATGGACGACGATAACCTCCAGAGAGCGGCGGGGGCATCGTTATCGGCGGCGGACGCGGCAGGGACTGGGGGGACCGGGATCACGGGGGCGGCGGCGACCTCCTCGTCGAGCATGGGACTGGGTGCCACGTCGCTCTTTCAGCAGTCGTTGGGGTTGGTCGCTAACGCGGCGGGAGTGGTCGCTGCGACGGCAGCAGAGGACATTAGCCGGCGGTTTCTGCATGATGTTGGCGGAGGAGGAGGGGGGGGAGGAGGAGGCGCAGCAGGAGGAGCAGCAGCAGCAGCAGGAGGGGCAGGAGGAGGTGGAGGAGGAGCTGGTCAGGAGTCCCTCGGATTGGTTGCGCTCGTCTCTCAGCAGCTCGCGTTGGTTGTTCGCATCGTCCCATCACTGGTGGTTCTCAAGAGCCTTCCTCGCCCCGAGGATATTCGTGACGGAGCGATGCCGTACACCGCGTGGAAGCGTACTCGCAAGTTCTCTTCTCCCGCTTATTCGCCGACCTTAACGACCACAGGCGGGACGCCGTTGTCTTCTTCGCAATCCTTCTTGCAAGGTGTTGGGGATGGCGCACACCAAAACGGAATTGCTGCGGGAGGAACGGGAGGAGGCGGAGGAGGTTGTGGCGGCAATGGATCGGTCTCTATGGTGGACGATGAACGAGTGCCGATGCTAGGGCTGGTGTGGGATCGTCACGTCATACTGGTGCAGGTCATTCGGTCGGAGTTGAAGGTCGTGTCTAGCTGGCAGGTTGACTGCGAGATGACGGGTATTGCGTGGATCGACGATGCGATTATTGCCACAACGGACGTGCGACACGTGCTGCGTCTGTATTCGATAGACGACGGAGCTGTAACGACGGAGCTCGAGAGAGTGCAATTGGGAGGAGTAGGTGATGGTCTCGTGTTCCACACCTATCTGAGCACTTCTTTCGGAGTTCCGCTTAAGTCTTATCATAACTCGTTGGCCATTCGAGGAGCAGCTATCTGCGTTCTGAGCTTCTCGCAGCTGAAGCAGGTGCGTCTCCTGCCCTGGAAGGAGCGGATACGAGTCCTGCAGGATGCCGGGGATTGGATGGGAGCGTTCAAAATAGCGATGGACTTGTATGACGGCACGGCAAAGGGAGCAACAGGGCTTCCTAGGGACTTGTGGGCGGCCAGAGCAGCTATGATGCAGACTCTCGTTGCTCTTCTTGTCGCCTACATCGAAGAGGCGTTCGCCTACATAGTCATCGCTTCTGTCTCAGCCCCGACTGCTCCCGCCAATTCTGTTCCCGGCAGAACGTCGACGACGAGCGGTGCGACAATCGCGGCAGCAATACCTGCTTCTTCTCCTGTGGACAAGGAGAGCGTGAAGATGGCGGGAGAGATGAGCGTCGCCAGAGGCACGACCAGCGAGGAAAGTGGTGCGGTGCTTGGAAATTGCGAGTCCGGAAGGGACAGCGGTGATGGGAGTAATCTTAGTAGTAGTAGTAGTAGTAATGGCGGAGAAAAGCCGGGAGGAGGGGAAGAAGAGGCGGCGCAGCTGGTCGTTGCGCAATATGCCGGTGTGGGTGGGGTTGCAGTTGAGTTCTGTGTGCACATCGGACGCACGGACGTTCTGTTCCAGCAGGTGTTCGGCAAGTTCGAGGCAGTTCACCAACGCGGGACTTTCTTGGAGCTGTTAGAGCCGTATATCCTGCGGGATATGCTTGGCGCGCTTCCACCAGAGATCATGCAGGCGTTGGTGGGTTGGTACGCGGCCAGAAGGCAGCTGGGGCGAGTTGAGCAATGCGTTCTTCATATGGATATCGGGTCATTGGACTTCAATCAAGTAGTGCGCATCTGCAGGGAGCACAGGCTATACAGCGCACTCATCTATGTTTTCACCAAGGGGCTGGACGATTTTGTCTCTCCATTGGGAGAGTTATTGTCGGTAGGGTTAGGAGAACGAGAAGGAGAAAGAGGAGGAGGAGGAGGAGAATCGACGACCTCGTCATTGCTACCGAGGCCTGACCACGACTCAGGGTACAAATTGTTGGTGTTTTTGAAATATTGTTTCTTGGGGCTACGTTTTCCGCCTGGGCACGGCAGTCTCTCGGCGAAAAGGTTGCCGTCCTTGAGAGAGGAGCTTGTCCGCTTCCTCATCGAGAAGAAGAATACAATCGAGGAGGAGGAGGAGAAGGAGGAGGAGGAGGAGGACCATGCCGCTCACGATGGCGGCGGAAATCGTGATTATTTTGATGTCAAGAAATCGTATAACCGTGCGGCAGCCACTGCATATCCACGGTTGTCCTATCTGTTGGAGCTGGATGCGAAGGCGACTCTTCGGGTACTCTCCTTTGCGTTCCCTGAGGAAGGACCGCTAGGGGTAGGAAGTACGGGTTGGACATATGGAGGAGGAGGAGGAAAGGTAGGAGAGAGAGTAGAAGAGACGGTGAAGTCGTCGGATGAAGAGGAACGAAAAATAGAAGAGAAGCAGGGAGATGAAGTGGATGGGGGAAAGGCAAATGGTGAGGAAGATGGCCGCGTGCATCTTCTTCTCCAACAGTTGGTGAATGCGCTGCTGGAGGTTTGCGGTTTTCGTTCTTCTGATGAGTCGCGGTTGTCAAATGGTCTCGTCGTCGGCGTTTTAAATATGGAGCAACAGCAGCAGAAGCAACAGGACGGAGGAGGAGGAGGAGCAAGAGGGGGAGGAAGAAGGCGCAACAGGAGCGAAGAAGATATGGAGAGTGGGGAAGTAGGCAGGGGAACGAAAATCCCGTTGTCTTGGGAGGAAGTCGGAAGAGTTTTGGAATTTGTGGCAAAATACATTGCCAGCAAACATGTTGAGGTGTCTGGGGACGTGATTCTTCGGATCGTGGAGCACCTGGCCTCCGGCAGCTCGAGGAGAAGAGCGAGGAGGGCTAGGAGGGAGGAGGAACTGATGCTTGCCGTCTTGCTCGCTGTGCCACCGACGATTATCAACGAGGACGAGGTGTTGCGTATTATTGACGAGAAGGGTGGGGGGTTCTGGCAGGTGGCGGCCTTGCTCCAGACGCGAAGGGGCAACATGGCGGGAGCCTTTGAGAGTCACTTGAAGGACAAATCGAAGCCAGACAAGGTGTTCACTTTCGTGACCAGCATGCTTGACAGCGAATCTGGCTTGTCAGCGGAGCAACGGTCACTTTTCATGGAGACGGTCCTCGGACATCTTCGAGAGTTATTGACGCTAGACGTCGAGGCGGCGCTAGAATGTGTGCTCGTGCATTTCGCAGGAAACGTTGAGCGCGTGATGAGGGAGCTGGACTGCGAGCCCAGGTTGCGGTTCCAATTGCTGAGAGGTATCCTGGGTGGTGCAGAGGCTCACTCTCGTTCTCCCAATTCGACGACGAACTCCGATTCCAGCTCCAATAATAAGGTCAGGTCTAAGAAGAGGAGTGGTGAGGAGCAACAGGCGCAGGCTCCTGCCTCACAACGTCCGCATAACCATAACTCTCGTTTGACGGAGCTTTTGAATCGGTCAAACTTGCAGGTCACGGATGCCATGGTCACCTCTTACGTGGAATTGATGTGCCGGTTTGAGAAGACGGCCGTCTGTCCTTTCCTCGAAAGGAATGAGAACTACAAGCCTGAGGAGTGTCTTGCTCTTTGCCGCGAGTATGGGGTCACGGATGCCGCTGCCTTCCTTCTGGAACGGATGGGTGATGTCGGCGGTGCGCTTGACCTGATATTGGAGGTTGTGCAGAAGAGAATTCGTGCAATGGATCGTGCAGTTGCTCGGACGTTCGGAGAGCGAGGGAGAGAGGATGGAAAAGGAGGAAAGGAGACGAAAGAAGGTCAACGAAGTGGTAATGACCTCCAGATGAAAGGGGAAGAGGAGGAGGATAAGCAGCAGCAGCAGCAGGAGGAGAAGGAGAAGGATGTGATCGTTCTGGAGAAGCTGCCCCATGTGGTTGCTGTTAATGATGCAATGGCTATGGCTGTTTCACTCTGTCAAAAGAACAACCAACGCTTAAACGTGAGGGCATCCGAATCGCTTTGGTTTCGTCTGCTAAGCGCCTATGTGGAGCCCTTGCGGCAGCTCAAGGCCATCTCCTCTTCCTTCTCCTCCCCCTATTTAGGTTCTCTGGAAAGAGGGCGGAAAAGTCAGGCCATGAATCTGAAGAACACGAACAAGGAGAAAAAGAAGAGGAAGAAGAAAGAGAAGCCACGTGAAGAAGATGGCCTTTTGCATGACCAGTTGCTTTCTCCTCTTTCGCTTATCTCTTGGATGAAGGGAGGCGGTGGGAAGGGGGATGATGTCCGCAGGGGGTCTCAGGGCAGCAAGTCGCAGGCCTCTTTGTCAAGAAAGTGGAAATGCGCCAAGAATGCTGCCGCCACTGAGCAGATGAGGACGCTCTTGGTTGGGATGATGGGGAAAGTAATGTCGGGTATGGTCGGCTATGTTCCCCTTCCGGTTCTGCTTTCAAAGATTGTGAGTCAACATGGCAGTGATCAGTTCGGTGAGTTCAAGGCAACAATCCTGGGATTGCTGGGGACATATGGCTTTGAAAGGTCAATTTTGAAAACAGCCAAGAATCTGCAGGATGGAGATGCGTTTGCATCCATGCATGCTCTGAAGAGGGGAAGAACGCAAGCTCTTGGACCCAAGTCGCTAACTTGCTGCGTGTGCAAACGGAACCTGCAACAGGAGGTAGCTGCGAGGCCTGTGCTTGTCAGAGCAGCTGGTGGGGAAGGAGGAAAGAACGGGTCTTCTTCTTCAGCAGCGTCATCTTCCTCCTCTTCTTTCGAGGGAGCTGGTCGAGGCGGAGTGAGCGGGCCAGTGCGTGGAATCCCTGTTGTGTGCAGCCCTGCCGAGAACCATTTCAGCACCTTCACCATCTTTGTCTGTGGGCACATTGCTCATGCAGTTTGCCTGGCTGGGCATGGTCAGCTTCCGGCTGAAGATACAGGAAGAGGAGGGCGGATAGCCATTGGTAAGGGCAGCTCGGAGCCTCCAGGAGGTGTTGCGAACGACTCCATCTGCCCCATTTGCCATCATGATAAGTTGACAGGAGGGAGCACTGACTCTTTGGCAGAGGGCTCTGTATGGGAATCTGCTTTCGTCAGCAAAGGTTGCAACTTTCCCGACGAGGGTGCCACGGCATCACAAGAGGTGGGAAGGGCAAGGAATGACCAAGGAGCTGCAAATGGGTCCACTGCAGCAAGTGGAAACCGAAGAGAAAGAGGTGCAAGAGGTGGCCAGTATGCCTTGCCAAACGAGGAGGTAATGAGGCGGCTGGATCTTGTCCGGAAAAGTGAGGCATACACTTTGCGGCGATCGCGTCTGTCGTTGTTGAATGATCTTGAAGAAGGACTCGAGGCTTACGAGAAGGAGAAGTGGCAGGGCCTGAATCTTAGACCACCCGCTGTTGGCAGAAAGGATGGTGCAATGAGCAAAGAAAGAACACAGCTTAGACAGGCGGCGATGGTAGCCAAAGCGAGGGCAACAGTGAGGACCACTTCATCAAGCTCAGCCTCGTCCGTCGTCTTCAGTGCAGGTGATGGGCTGTTACGTCAGTGGAAAGGCATTGCTGGTTCCAGTACCTCTTCAGCTTCCAAAAGCTTGCAACGTTCTCCTCCTCCTCCCAATCCTCAGCCTTTGGCATCGTCCTCAGGCACCAGTGTGAAACAGTCAGACGACAGTGCCTGGATAAGATCATCGGCTTCTCAGCCTTCGTCAATACTATCTGTGAAGAGCAGGGTAGCGAATGTGAGAGAAAATGATGATCCGAGCCCTGCAGAAAAGGGGAGTGAACGGAACTCCCCTCTGCGTTCCAGGTTCCTGTCTGCAGCAGAGTTCTTTGGAGATGCTCTCAGAAGTACTCCCTCCATTGAGGGTGCCAAAGCAGCGGCAAGGTCGCTGAAAGAAAGCATCTTTTAATTAATCCCGAAGGTGCAGCAGTGGAAGAAACTGGTGCCTTGGTCCATGTGGTATGTTCTCTTAGTAGCTGCTCATGCCGTCCCATTTCATCTTGGCAACCATCTCTCTCTCTCTCTCATACACACACAGACACACACACACACACACACACACACACACACACACATACACACACAAACACACACACACACACATATACACACATTGGTGGCCACACATTTTCTTTTTGGGAGGGGATGTATGTTTTGTGGGATGATTTGTAATGATTTGTGGGGGAAAGGAGAGAGAGAATTTGGGGTGCTTTAACAGCACGCACACACAGACACACACACACACACACACACACACACAATCAGTTTTATGTCTGTTGGTCCTTTTCCTATTGTCTGTCTCCCCTCTGATTTTTTCTAAGTATTTTTGTGTGGGCCCAACTGAGCACCCTTAGGTAGTGCCAAACAGTCAGTGGTTCCTCGTTTGGAGTGCCAACTGCACTCTTAGGGGGGCCGCTCGGTTCGGGTTATCTGTGTTGCCTGTAGGTGATGACGGATGCTCGTCGGAGTGTCTCCCTGGCTCAGTGGGTGGTGGGAACCAACAGTCGTGGGGTTCACCCGTGATGTGAGTAGGTGATGTGCTGCTTTGCTCCGTGTTGGATGTGTGGACGACTCCGTCTGTGCTCCACCACTGCCTTGCTGCCCGTTTGGCTTGCCTCGCAGGTCGTTCTTGGCATGCTGCTGTCTTCACTGTGTGGTGTGGCCGGGTTGTGGTGTTGCCTTGCGCTTCGCTGCTTCGCTGCCTTGCAACCTGTCCGCTGGTCGTGCCTTCCGGGTCTTTTGCTTGCGCGCCCTGTAGTTTGGTTGCCGTGTTGCGGTTGCCTTGTGCTCCTCAGCATGGTCGCTCTGCTGCTTGTCCGCTTGCCCTCTCGTCCCTTGCAGTGTGGTTGTCTTGGTCGTGTTGCCTGGTGCTTCACTGCTTGGGTGCCATGATGCGAGTTCGGCGTGCCGTGTCGTTCCTTGCAGTCGTTTTGCCGTTGTGCAGCCGTGTTGCCTCTACTGCGCTGCCTGGTGCTCCGCAGGGTTGCTGCCCGCTGCTATGTTCTGCTTGGGGACAGTCTGCCTTCAACAAGGGTCAAAGGGTTCATGACCCAAACCATCAATACGGGCACTCCGCAGATTGTCGAGGGTTTAGCCTCCTGATGAGTCGGTGCAACTCCGACGAAACAATCTATCATCAGTGTTATTTTTTTCGGTTTTGCATGTTTTGATACTTCATTTTTTTTTGGGATGTTTCTTTGGCATGTTTTTTTTGGACACACACACACACACGCACACACTCTTCGTTGGTTCTCTATTTTCCTCTGTTTGTTATGTCTTTCTCACTGTGTTTGCTGCATTTCCTTTTCTTTTCTGTTTCTTTTCAATGTGTCCAGCGACCCTCCTCAGTATGTGTTTTGCAGTATTTTTGGGCTGGGGGTCGGGAGGGCTTGTGTGTCTGGTGTCCTCAGTGGTGAGAGATGTTCGTTCCTCCTGTAACTTCATGGTCATTGACAGTGGCGTGAACCCATCGGCTGCAGAATTGCACGATTTTTGTGATGTGATTGTCCACCTCGATCTGTGATATAGGAGTGGGCTGCTGATCTGCTTGTCTTGCTACTTATCCCTCTGCCTTGTTGCCTTGTTGCCTTGCTGCGCCTTGCCACTTGCCTGGCCTTTTCCCTGGCCAGCTCGCTGCTTGCCTTCCTGTCTCCCTGCCTGCCTGCCTGCCTGCCTTGTTGACTTGCTGCTTACCTTGCTTCCTACTTGTCTGCCTGCTTGGCTCATGCCTTGCCGCTTGTCCTGCCATTTGCATGCCTTGTAGCCTTGCGGCCCTGTTTGCACCCGATTTGTTGTTTTCTTTGTTGTTTGCATGCTGCTTACCTTGCCATGCTTGCTGCCTTGGTGCCTGCTTGTCGGCCTGTGTTGTGGCCTCTCTGTATTTCCATTTTTCAGCTGGAGTCGAGACAGATTATGACTTGAAGCACCATAAGGAGATTCTGCTGACTGTCGAGCGCTCAAGCTGCTGATGAGTCGGTGAGAGTCTGATGAAATAGTGTGTCATTATGGCGTTTTTAATGCTCTTTTTTTCCTTTTTGTATGTTTTCCCTCACTTTATGATATTTCTTGCTCGTTCATTCTTGCAGTATGATGAGGTTGGTTAGTCTGATGCTGGAAATCTGATGTATCTTTTGAATCCTTTATGTCAACACTCTTTACCTTGCACATGAGACTATGCCTTGGTGCCAAGCTGTATGGCTGAAGGTTTTTATCATACACAGCTAAAAGGGCCTTTACCCGATATAGGCCTCAGGCCTTGTAAAAATAAAGCAGCACGGGCCTTGAAAAAGTAAAGCATTGTGAAAAGGTATCTCGTCAGAGCTCAGAAACGTGAAAGCAGGTCAAAGGGCAAGTTCTCTATCAACAGGCATATTTAAAACTAAGGCAAAGGGCATTGTCAAAAGACTTACCTGTTCACCAGGAGATGTGTATGTCATGTCTGTT